AGAATATGCTACTGAAATGGACATGTCCATAGCAGCAATTATGTTTTCTCAAAGAGCTTACTTCGAGAAACTTTTTCTTTAAATATGCATCAGGAAAAGTGCTTGTCAAAATAATAATAATAATTGATTTGGGTTTTTTTGTTTTGTTTTTGATAAACACATCTTGGTGGTTGAGCAGAAGGTAGGCCTGGTTATTAATATGGAGGGAAGTCCACCTTTAAGGATCATGGGATTGAGAAATATGGTGTATAACAGGGGTAGTCAACCTTGGCTCTTTTATGACTCGTGGACTTCAACTCCCGGAATTCCTGAGCCAGCCATGCTGAGGGGAAAGGGAGAGGTTTCCAAGCTGAACCATGCTGGCTCAGGAATTCTGGGAGTTGAAGTCCACGAGTCATAAAAGAGCCAAGGTTGACTACCCCTGGTGTATAACCAGGAAAACCTAATAGATTTATTCCTAAAAGTAATCAGGAGTTGAGCTAGATTTGAAAGATACTTCCCTGAGCTCCGAGCTTGATTGTTTACTTGCAGACATAGGTTTTTTTATTCACATCATTGACACAAAATCTATTACCCGAATTATGGGATTTGCTATTACTTCCCAATAATATTTCAGGTTAAATGATCTGTTAGAAAATTCTTGGCATAACTACCTAGGAAAAAAATTATCTTAGTCATACTTTCTTTCCTATCTTAAGCAGTTGTCAGATTGATAGAAATGGAAAAGACATGACTCTTGTTATTTTGGAGAAAACAATATGAATTTTGCAGTTTACTTTACTCATAACAGTATTTATACTGCCTTTCCATTGTATAAGTTCTCTGAAAAACATCAGCCTGAAAATTATCAGATTCATATCCTTTATATAAAGGCAGCCCCTCAATAAATATAGACTAAAACTTAAAAAGCAGTGCAAACAATATGTGTGGTAAAAGAAGAACATAGCACTTAAAAACAACCAAACAGAAACCACACACCTTACTAAGAGGCTTTTCATATCTTCATCTGATGTGAAAAATATAACAAAGATGGTTTGACAAAAGCATCTTTAGGAAAGCTGTGGCACCATCAACATGGCGTTCTTCATATTGATCAATATCCTCACCAGATCTGAACTTACTAGAGATAGCCTTTATGGCCAATCAAATACAAATTAATCCTCTCTAACTGTTATTTCTGAAGAAATTTTATTTAGTGGCATCTGGTACTACCTGGAGAATAACACAGCACATATCACAGAGCAGTGTTTCTTAAAATATAGTCCTAGGATCCTCTCAGGGGTCCTCAAAATCAAAATTATTTACCAGCCTATGTTGAAAAATAATACAATATTAAAATCCCATCAAACAATTGTAAGAAGTGGTAGTTGCAAGAAATGCTTCATTTCAAATATTGATAAATATAATCCATACAAACAAAAGCTCTTTGGGGTTCCTCCATAATTTTTAAAATTGAGAATTTGTCCTGAGAAAAAAGTTTAAGAAACACTGGCATACAGTCATCCATGTTGATCATCCATGAGATATGTTTTATGCTTTTTTAAACTTGTTATTTTTCCTGAAGGAAATCCCAGAGTAAGATATGCAAGACTCTAAAACAAATTTCCTGCAATAGTAACAAAAAAGGCATAGAAAGACAATAAGCAATCTATTAACAAGACACTTCAAAGTTAATATTTTAAAATGTTTGGGATAGAGCCTTTGACTTGATACTGAAAGGAAAGGAATGTTGAGAACAATCTTATGCTTCGGAATGTACCATAATAAAGAAGATGTTTAAGTTATAAATACTGTATGTAATATGTTAAAAGGATCTTATCTGAACAATACTATAAACTCCTGCCATGTGCTCTTATTATCAGTTATCATTCATGTATTTGTTGAAAGAAAAATCTTCATCAGGGTCCAGTCCAAGCTGGGAATAAACAAAATGGAGACTGCTTTAGAAAGAAGCTTAGAGTTTATTGAAGAGCAGAGCCAGACAGAAGCGTGGTTCTGGGAAAGCTAACCACATGTAGTAGGGAGTGGTGGGTTTTTATACCTTCTTAAGCTTTTGTTTGGAGTTGTTCCTGTGGCATGAACTTTGACCTGAGTCTGAGTGTGCCTTTCTGGTATTCTGATGGTGGTGGGTTAATCCTATTATGTCCCAAGGGTCATATCCTGCTTCCCTGGGGCTGTGGCTGATGACTGTTGGATTTTTGGTGTGCGGGATTGTTGATTCTAGGGATCTTTGACTTTCTAATCCAAGCTTCCTGGCTCCAATCTTTCTGACAAGATTATCACATCTGCATTTCTACAGACCTGGTTTCTGTCTGGGGCAGAGAGACTTGGGGAGGTTGTTTCTACTTTTAAGAGCTTTTAGGGAAATATATTCTGTCTTTTTAATATTTCCCAAAATATTTCTTTCTCTGGATTCTTCCCACATATTCTTAGAGTTCATGAGATATAATGTAGTATTGTTGTTCTCGTGAGAAATAATAATAATAATAATAATAATAATAATAATAATAATAATAATAATAAAAAAGTTGGAAGGGACCTTGGAGGTCATCTAGTCCAACCCCCTGCTCAGGCAGGAAACCCTATACCATTTCAGACAAATGGCTGTCCAGTCTCTTCTTAAAAACTTTCAGTGTTGGAGCATTCACCACTTCTGGAGGCAGGTTGTTCCACTGGTTAATTGTTCTAACTGTCAGGAAGTTTCTCCTTAGTTCTAGGTTGCTTCTCTCCTTGATTAGTTTCCATCTGTTGCTTCTTGTCCTGCCTTCGGGCGCCTTGGAAAATAGCTTGACCCCCTCTTCTTTGTGGCAGCCCCTGAGATATTGGAATACTGCTATTGTGTCCCTCCTCATCCTTCTCTTCATTAAACTAGACATACCCAATTCCAGCAGCCTTTCCTTATATGCTTTGGCCTCCAGTCCCCTAATCATCTTTGTTGCTCTTCTCTGTACTCTTTCTAGAGTCTCAACATCTTTTTTACATCGTGGTGACCAAAACTGGATGCAGTATTCCAAGTGTGGCCTTACCAAGGCATTGTAGAGTGGTATTAACACTTCACGTGATCTTGATTCTATCCCTCTGTTAATGCAGCCCAGCACTGTATTGGCCTTTTTGGCAGCTGCAGCACACTGCTGGCTCATATTTAGGTGATTGTCCACTAGGACTCCGAAGTCCCTCTCACAGTTACTACTATTGAGCAAGTTACCTCCTATACTATACCTGTACATTTGGTTTTTCTTGCCTAAAAGTAGAACCTTACTTTTTTCACCACTGAATTTCATTTTGTTAGATAGCGCCCAGTGTTCAAGTCTGTCCAGATCCTCCTGTATCTTAAGCCTGTCTTCTGGAGTGTTGGCTATTCCTGCAAGCTTGGTGTCATCTGCAAATTTGATGATTTCCCCATCTATCCCCTCGTCCAAATCGTTGATGAAGATGTTGAAGAGCACTGGGCCCAGAACAGAGCCCTGGGGCACCTCACTACACACTTCCCTCCATGTAGATGCGGTTCCATTGAGGACCACACGCTGAGTATGACCCGGTCAGCCAGCTACAGATCCATCTGGTGGTGTTGGTTGTTTTCTTTGACATGCACATTGTAAAATGTGAAAGTCACATTTGTTGCAAGTTAAGAGTTACTGTGCTATTGAACTTTCAGGTTGCTAAAATGTAAAAACCATGTTGCTTTGCTTGCTTATTGAACTTTGCAACCAGATTGCAAAAAGTATTCACTGGTATAAGCATGTACATTAAAAATATACATGAATCCAATAGCAGAGAGGGATGCTTTGTATCAGTGTTATTTGTGAGTTATTTGATTTATTGGCTTCACTTTTCTTTTTTGCTCTAGTCAGTTTTATGACTGACTGTGCAGTTACCGGCTACAGTATAAGTCTGTTTGTTGCTTCTGTTGTCTGCTGTGGAAAGTTTTCTACTCATCTCGTTTTCATCCTACAGCCTACAACTGTCCTTAAAAAGTGGCTTTATCAATTAGCTTGGGGGTACTGCCCTAAATGGAGTCTGTAGGATAGTTGCATGAAAGTTAATACACTTTGTTTTTCTAACATTTTGTATTTGTTTTTATTTTAATTTAAACGGTTTAAATGGTTTCTGTACATTCTTGAATATTATTATGTAGACTGCCCAAAGTCTCTAAGCAGGATAGGCAGCTATACAAATGCGATTAAATAAATAAACTTATCTAATGTCATATCTAGTAATTTTGAAAACCAAGGGCCAATCCATTGGCTGATCTTCTGTGGCTTGTAAAGGGGAAAATAATATCTTTGCCTTGTCTTTGGGGATTGTCACGGCCAAATATTACTGTTTGCTTGGACTTTTCTTGGCCTGCGTGTATTTAAATGTCCTCCGTGTGGCTGTGCCTCTTCCGAGGGACACACCATTCCTTATTTCTGGATTAAGATGGTGAAGATGACCCGAAAGAATCGACAGGAAAAAAAAAAAAAGTTCGGATGGGCTCGGGGAGTCCAAGCAGGCCCATCCTCATTCCTTGCGGTGCTTTTCTGGGCATCGCCGGCTCACCTCATCCTTCCTCCTTCCGGAGGCAACGATGGGAATGATTTGCTGCAAATGACATCAGCTGCCTGTTGGCAAAGCGGCGGCGGCGGCGGCGGCAGCAGCGCGTGGCTGTGCCGGGTCTACCCCCCCCCCGCCTGTTCCTCCTCAGCCGCCGCCGCCGCCGCCTCCCTCCGCCCTCTCGCCAGGTCCCAGCCCCGCACTGTCTCGGTATAAAAGCCCGCCGCCTCCTCGCCCTCCCTCACTCTCCCAGCTGCCTGGAGCGCGGTGGTGCCTCTCGGCGCACTTTTTTCCCCCCTTCTTCTTCTTCCCTGCAGAGGGAGGCGCCTTTGGAATTAAACCCTTTCGTCGCCTCCCCTCTTTCTCCGCCGTCGCCTGAGAGGAGAGCTTGGAAGGCGCTGCGAAGGAAGGAAGGAGGGAGGGAGGGAGGAGGCGGCGGCGACGACGACGGCGACGGGCTTGCCAGGATGGCGACGGTGGTGCTGGAACCCGAGTCGGAGCCGTCTTGTAGCCTTCCCGGCGTGGTCCCCCCTTCGCCGAGCCTGTCGCACCGCTTCCTAGACAGCAAATTTTATCTGCTGGTCGTGGTGGGCGAGCTGGTCACGGAGGAGCATCTGAGAAGAGCCATCAGCAATATAGAGCGAGGTAAGGCGGCGGCGGCGACGGCGGTGCGCCGCGTTCCTCCCGCCCGCTTTCTCCTCTCCCTTCTCTCCTGCAAGGGGTTTTCGGGCAGGGGAATCCCGTTTTTTCCTTCCCTTTCCTTCCGAGCGCTGGCTGGAAAGGGAAGAAGTCGGGAGGCGCCCTACAGGTTGCACAGAAAGTCCTGGCTGCCGCCGTCTCTTGCGGAGAGCGGGCGAGCGTTTCTCTGCGAAAGGTTCTGCCTGCGACCTTGGTCCCCGCCGCCCCCATCGGAGACTTCTGTCCCTCGCCTGTTTATGGCGCAATGCTCGGAGAACCGTTGGGCTGATCTCCTAGCTCAGCCCAGTGGAGATCCGAAAAAGGAAAATCTGATGCAACCACTCCCTTCTCTCTCTCTCTCTCTCTCTCTCTCTCCCCCTTCCCCCTTTTCTCTGTGTGGATGCTTGTGTTAGGAGGGGTGAGGATTCTCTCTAGAACTGCAGTGCTACTGTTGCCAGCGGTGTCTTATTTAACCCCCCACCCCACCCCGGTCCCCTTTTCTCAGAGATACAGTCACACTTCTAGGCGTGCCTTCTGCACAGAGAAAGAAAGAAAGAAAAAAAAGCTGCAGGGAGGCACTGAAGGGTGTGGAGGCATCAGTTCCCCGCCTGAATGAGAGGGAAGAAATGGCACCCTCGTAATTGATGGCTTTGTTTTTGTTTTTTTTTGTACCATAGCTGACTTCAAACGACAACAAGGTTAAGAGTTGGTGGTTAAGAGTCGATCGCCTCCTCATTCTGAGGGAAAACCTTGTTCTCTGGGGCTATCCCAATTCATCCATATTTCCAGAGATGTAGGACAGGAAGCAGTAGCAAATGAGATCTGGGAGGGGGAATATGTCCAGGGAAATACCCTATGAGTTTTGCTACATACACACATTTCCTGGAGATGTATAAGGATGCCTCTGCTTCTGAAACAGCAAATATGTGTGTCTGGGAGTATTTTTTTGGCTTTCCACAGAAAGATCTGCAGTTGACTTTGGCATTTTTGCTGCACCGGGAGGCACAAGGAAGGTGCAGTTGATCTTGAGTTTGCTCTACTTTTTCCTTCTGTGAGTCATTCCTCCCCTCCCTATTGTCATCATTCACACACATCCCACCCCCCACTCCAGCTCAGAGCAGAGGTCGTTCCAGTCTTTGCTTGCCAGCAACAGTGTCTCTCCTTTTTCTTTTTTCTTTTCCTCCCACCTCTCTATGCTGCTGCTAGAGAGTCTGCCCAGAGATACTGGCGGCGTGGTGGGCGTGGTGCAGTCCGCACTGCGGTCCCTATGGCAGCCCATAGCTGACAAAGGGCGTTTATACAGTCAAGGAGAAAAAGAGAATTATGTTTAGGATCCATTTGCACACTGTCTGCCTTTGCTCTCTGAAAATTGAGGAGAAAGGGCTTTAGAGAGCTCTGGGGCTGCAAAATATGCCACTTCTGAACAGAAATACAGCAGCTTCTTTTGTTTCTAACTTTTGGCCATAAGTGATATGGAAATTTTTTTCCCCCACGCTTTCTGAGCATGGTGGTGGTTTTGGAGAGATTTTTTTCAAGACAAATAACATGCAGAAATTATAATTATAGAATAAGGAGCAATTTATTTGTTAATCTTACTATTGCTTGGCTACAGATTATTACAGCTTCTTTCAAAAGCCGTAGTACTGTAAATTGAGGAAAGCAATTTTGCAATACATGTCTAATAAAATGGTATGTATTTTGAGTATCAAAGCTGGTTATATTCATAAACTTCAGGTAAATTCTCTCTCTGACTCTTATTCTTTCCTAAGAAAAGGAAAGCAAAGGATTTCAGCCATTGTCAGAAACCCTTGGCTACGTGTAGGTGTGGTTCATAATTACTTTGGGGTTTTATTTTATTTTTTTGATTTTGCATTCTAGTGAATTTGCACTATACATTTATAGCTCTTTCTGTAATCATACCAAAAGTTGCTGGAAATAATCTTTGGTCTTGTTCTTTCTAGCTACACCTAAAAGTTTTAGATTAAGTCTGAATTTGCTGCATTTTAATTAATAATTTAATAATATTAAGGCATTTGATGTCAGTTTTTGCTTCAAGAAAAAGAAATAAAATTCCTGATTTTGATTTTTGCTTGTTTTGTTTTTTCTTATTGCATAGTTCAATTGTAACATTCTTGATACTGCATTCTGAACACAAAATGATGACACTTATAAACATTCAGGGGATTTGCCCATGTCAGTGGTTTAAACCTTGATTAGAAAAGTATAGAGATTTCTTTGTTAAAATATACAGCAGCTTGATTAAATGTCTAGTTGAACAAGGCTTTTGAATCAAGGCCTCTGTGGTTTCATGATTCTGCACTCTCAGTTTTGGCCCTTGGACACCACCCTGGAAGACGCTCAATTAATATGAATCACTGCAGAGAAATCTGAGAAGGCCATCATCTATGAATGACGTAGTAAAAGATTATCTTGAATGAATTGAAAAAATGTTTTTTTAAAAATATTTTTAAATGAGATTTAGAGGTGACAGCTATTTAATATTTTTAGAAAATCAACTACAGTATTTATTTCTGTATATCGATTATTTTTTCCATTACTTTAAAACCTATGGAAAATCTTAACCATTCCCAGTCTGCCCAGATTGCTGATAAAGACCTGAGCTGACAGAAAAGATTGACAGAACTAAAAACATTTCTTTTCAATAGATGTTGATTAATCACTCACGTTAATATATATATATATATAATATATACACTACTTTTTAGTGTAAAATTCTGTGTGATGATTGTGTCTGAAATGCTGACTCACAGAGCTCTATTGTGTAGACTGATTTAACAGTGGATCTTTAATAGGCTTCCATATTTAATTTTAAACAATGCTTGCTTTTTGAAAACTTATGATGTATACTTGTTTTTTTAAAAAAAATAATTCTTGCAAAAGCCAGTATTCTAAAAATAACTGAATTTGATTACTCAATAACATCTTCCTAACTTGGTGCCCTCAAACATGGTAGCTAAGGATTGTAAGATCTGATTCAAAGCAATCTTTCTGAAATGTCCAGCTAAATCATTCATTTATCAGAATGAATGTACATATACAAACTGAAAATATTTGAGTTCTGTCATACATATGAATGATCCTCAATACATTATTCATATGTTTCTCATTCTGAAACATTTTTGTTAACTAGATCCCATAAAATATGAAAACTTACACCCTCTTGGTATACCTGGAGATGATATAAAATGTATTAAGAAATAAAAATAAGATACAAAACAGATAACAAACCTGAATATTTTAAAGTAATAACTGTAATAGGTCAGAAGAATTTTCTTATAGGAAAATTATTAAGAAGATGTCCTCCAAATCATTTTCAAACTCTCTATACAATTTAGATCAGCCTGGTTTTATACTAGAGGATTGGAAGTCAATCTATTCCAAACAGGAGAAAAAGGTTTAAAGATATGGTACATGCATTGATTGTAAGAAATTCTGAGTTAATTTTCCAGACAGACTCATGTGGCCTAGAGATTCATGTTGTAGGTGAGATTAACCTTTGGAATTTAGATAAGAACTATCATCTCGAGTAAAAAAGCCATTAGTTGCCTATTAGTAGATGGGAAGATGCTCCAACAGAAAGCATTGCATGTCACAATAGACCATAAATTCTGACATTATATAAAGCAACATCCTACATTCCTAATCAAGGCAGAAGTTGCTTTCTGTCAAGTCAGACCTTTTGTGGAAATTTGGCAGAGCTTTACTAATGATGTCATAGTTGAAGTGGAGAAAAGTGAAGTAGGAATCACTTTTCTTTGAACTTTTTTTTTGCCATTATTGAATTTCAAAGAGTTCCATTAAAAGCAGGATAAAAGCAAACACTGATTGATTTAACACCATAATACGGATTTCCTTTTGGAAATTTTCAAAAAGGCACACAGATCCTGAAAAGTGGTGGTTGTTTTCTCACCTCATTAAAACTCCTCTTGCTGGAGTCTTCTGAGGCTCCCCAAATCCTTTCCAAAATTAACATCAAAACAGGTTTTAAATGCAACATAAGGGAAAAAGTTGGAGAGCAATCATATACATTGTAATTTAATTTATTTAGTCAATTTCAATCCAATGAGGTGAAATGCAATTTTTATCCTATCTTATCCACATTGGGAAGGTAGTCCCCACATCTCACCACAATCCACTCAAAGGCCAAATACAGTCCCACCAGAAAAATATTGTACAGCCCTATGCTTCTAGTATTACTACACTGTTGTGGTTAATGGTAGCTGCTTCCCGTTTAATTAGCTGACACCTTGTGTTCTGGTGCAGAGGTATAAATGTTACATGCATACAGGTTTGTAGAAGAATTCACATTGTCTTACTGACCGAACCAATCAAACAGGTGGAGAGGGAAGAAGTAGTTGACCTTTAAAACTGATGCAATAATTAGGACTTGCTTCCAAACATTTGCATTTATTCTGTTTGTAAGCTTCTTTTTAAAAAAACAAACATAATTTTAAAAATTATCTATGATGATTGTATGCATTTAATACTTTGAATCTGTGTCATGTAATAAATAATAGTCTTTTAATTTATAATACCTTGCTATAAATGTTTCAGTGTAACACATTGAATTAAGTTTACTGCTATTTAAGTAAACTCAAAATTTTAAGACTTTAAAAGGAAGCATCAATATATCATCTTGGCTGGACTCCCATATTTAGTTTCTCTTATGTCAGGGCTTGCTGATACTAGCTACCCATAGTATTGCTAAATGTATTAGTATATAGAAAATGTGGTCACTAATATTGTGTGCTGGATGCAGCTGAAGTTGACACAGGCTAAAGGGAGAGCAGAATAACTGTACCTTTGAGCTGAATGAAACAGGCAACAAAGTTTATGGTGTCATGTAAATGGCTATTTAATTTATTATATTATGGTTACTGGCAGATATGGGAAAAGAGCCTGTGGCCTTTTCTGCCTTATGCGCCTAAATAACATGGCTGGCCTTGGGTACTATGCATCTTAACCATATGCAGAAAGCAAAATAATATCTATATTCCATCACTCTCTTAATCCAGCCTACATCAAAAGGCTGTTATTGTGGGGGGGGGGAATTGAGGAGAAAAATTTATGTATAAAATATCTGAGATCCTAGGAGAAGAAAGCGAGTTGATGGAATCCAAGAATTATCATGGCTAGATAGATCAGAAGTTGATGGTTTGTTAAAGGCTGCCATAAAGTTAACACTCATTGTACAGATGCAATTGAGAAAAATGAGGTAATTCAAGACAAATGTGAGGTTAAATGAGAAGAGAGCACTACAGGTAGTCCTCGACTTACAACAGTTCATTTAGTGAGCAATCAAAGTTATAACAGCACTGAAAAAAGTGACTTAGGACCATTCTTCACACTTATGACCATCGCAGCATCCCCATGGTCATGAGATTTACTTTCGGATGGTTGGTTCCTATATATGACAGTCTATATATGACAGTTGCAGTGTCCCGCAGTCATGTGATCCCCTTTGGTGACCTTCTGAGAAGCAAGGTCAATGGAGAATCCAGATTCACTTAACAACCGTGTTACTAACTTAACAACTGCAATGATTCACTTCAACAAATGTGGCAAGAAAAGTTGTAAAATGGGGCAAAACTCACTTAGCAACATAAATTTTGGGCTCAATTGTGGTCATAATTCGAGGACTACCTGTCTTCCCTAATGGGACAGTTTGTTCAGACCAGACAAAAGGGTTTTATAGAGCTGGCTCTTTCTATTGGTGCAAGTAGATGGGATCCTTTAAGAAAGCGGTCCCCAGCCTTTCTGGGCTCCAGAGAGCAGCAACGGCAGCGGCAGGCAGTGGGAGGGAGGGAGGGGTTTTGCATGCGCCAATGGAGCTCTGCACACTTGCCCGCTGTTTGCGTGGCTCTGGTTCCCAACAGGCCATGTACCGGTAGCAATCTGCAGGGTTTGGGGACCCCTGCTTTGTGGCAACGATGAGAGATGAAAAGGATTAGTGTCAGACAGGCCTCCTTCCAACAGAGATTAATACAGTTATTGGTGGAAGGTCCTGAGTGACAGTAGTTCTGAAGTATGGAAGGCTAGCTGTCAGAGCCCTGTGTGCTTCTTGTCCTTATGTGTTATAAAACAAGAAACTTGGGCATTTCGTTTGGAACTGTGCCTACTTAGTACAAAAAGGGTGAAGTTAACCAGGTAGGAGCATTTTGTGAAGAAGGTGGCAGGTAGCATTCTGATCGGTGGTGCTCTGCAACAGGCTATGTCTCCCAGGTAGCTGTTTGGTAATTGGGCAGGATCACAACATGTTTTTGAAATTCCAAGTAAACACATATGCACAAAAAACGTTGGCATATACTGTATGTATAAGCTGTGTACCTAAATCTGAGCAGCACACTGGTGAGGGCCTATTCTGGCATACAGTCCTGGTCACTACTAGCAAAGTGTTTGTCCTGAGCTTTTAATTCTGTTACTTTTGTGATGTGGTTGAGTGCTTCTGTAGGAAGAAGGAATCCTAGTTTACAAATACGTACATGAATTCATAAATATTTAAAGCATAATAATTTGGAGAAAGTGTTTTTACAAGTAGCACAAAACAATTAGTTCAATATTTTTATAGCATGTTGCAAATTGGTTAGCTACATCAGTCTTTTGTAAATATCACATTACCATCCTATAATCTTGCTCCCTAATAAAAGGAGTAAAAAATGCTAGCCTTGCTCAGAATAGAATTCTAAATAAAGTCATTAACTAAAGAACTAAAGATATATTAGGCACTTTGAGAGATAAAGGACTGACCCTGGTAAGGGGAATAAGAAGACTGATTTTAAAAACATTTAGAGTAGAGAATTGACAGGTACATTTAAAAAAATAAAATCTAAATATACCCATGTATCCATATGTAAAGATAATCTGAGAGTGAGTACATTGTTGGACTAGCTTACATTCAAACTTATATTTAAGCCATTGAATTGGTTTACTGTATTTATTTATTAAAAGTACTCATATAGTTGCCCATCTTATGCACTATAATGCTAGGTGGCTTACAAACAACAAAAAGAGTACAAAGCATACAAACCATCACAAAAACTCTAGGTCAGGTGTCCCCAATCCCTGATCCGTGGACCAGTACCGGGCCGGGCATGCCAGCAACCGGTCTACACAAGCAAGCAAAGCCCCATCCGCAAGATGCAGGCAGCATACAAAACTACACATTCCAGTCCGCGGAAAAACCTCTCTCCACAGAACCGGTCCATGGTGCCCAAAAGATTGGGGACCTCTGCTTTAGGTGCCCCCACCAAAGTACAGAGAGAGAGGGGGGGGTCTATGACAATTTGTCATGGGCAGTTTGCCAGTCAACTCACTGCAGCACAAGAGTTACACTAATATTAAAGAAATAGTAGAATAGAATCATTGAAGAAAGGAAGCAAAAGGAGGAACAGAATGAAATGTGAATGGCAAAAATTAAAACACTTTTGTAATTTATTTTAAATAATTAAATAGAATTGTTAAAAAAGAGTGCTTAAAATTTCTACCTTGAGGTAAAGGAAAAAAGAAAGCTAAGAATAGTAATTAATATTTCTGTACTTATCCTTGACTATGTGTTTATTTTGTTTTTAACATCTAGGTATCCGATCATGGGACACAAACCTCATTGAATGCAACTTGGATCAAGAACTTAAACTTTTTGTGTCTCGCCATTCAGCTCGATTCTCTCCTGATGTGAGAGGTGAGGGGTTTTTTTCTGTTATTGCCTGTGTTTGGTGGAGATTAATTTAAAACACCTGTTGCACAATAGGTCTTAGTCTCCATTACGACAATAAAGTTGTAATCCTATATTCACATTCCGTAGAGCAAGTCAACTGAGATTTTCTTTTGGATTAATATATCTAAGGTCACAGTGTAAAATTGGTTGTCTCTCTTTTAAAGAAAGCTTTATAGAGGACAACAGACAAAGCCAATATGCAAGCTTGATGTCATAGCCAGTGGCTATAATTCCAGACTTACTTACTGGAAAGTAAATGTTGATGAGATCAGTGAAAATCAATTCATAGGGAGTTTACTTAGTTGGGCTATAAGCATAGAAATAATCATGTGGTATATTGTTTTGAGCAAAAAGGATTCTGTTCTTAGTATAACTCAATTATACATTACTGTTTTCCAATAAAAGAATAATCTGATGTGAGTTGCTGCTATTTGACAAAGGTGTTTTTTCAAACCTGGAAGACTGAGAATATCCATAGACATTTTGACAATGCAGCTTTCTGTATTAATAAGAGCTGAAGTAACAGAGCTGCTTTGATACAATTTCATTGCAGATTAATGTTTTCTTAGTATTACTACAAATAAATATTTCTGTGGGATCAGAATAAGTTCTAATTCCTTTTAAATTACAAAAGCTGTTGAATCTTGGCTTTAAAAGAATTTCATGTATTGGTGGGAATGAAGATTATTATGATTATGCTACTTTCCTATCCCCAGTCTTTATTTTAAGTAATGTTTGTATGTCTGCTATATAGAGGGTTACATATTTGCCCAGATTAGATGCTCAAGTTCAATAAAATGCTTCCAACTCCTTGCACATATCTAACATGTCCAAAGTTTAATGTGCATATTATCTATTATAAAATTCTATCAAAACATATAGGAATCACACTTTCTTTTAGGAGGGATTAGGATTGGATTTTACCTGAGTAAAGTTTTCTTAGTGTAATCCAGCAGAATGAGTAATGGGTCTTCCTATTTTAGATCTGAGTGGGCAAACTTTAAGTAGCTGGAAGTCTCACTTAAAATTGAGGTTGGTGAAGATAGCAGTCAAGGGAAAATAATATTAAATGAGTAAGATTAGGATTATCTCTTTTTCATGAGTTTAAGGAGAGACTTTGCTAATTAATGGGAATGTATAGGTTTACACTATAATTTCCATGGTTTTATGCCTGTGTGTTCACAAAATCAGGCAGAGCTTTAAGTTTTCATTTTGACCCTGAATCCCATTCATTGATAAGAATGTTTCAGTTTTCATTGTAAATAAAAATAAAAATAAATCTTTGGAATAACCTTCTCTCCCATTTATTAAAATCTTGGGAAAAGAGGGACTTTGCGCAAGATATAGATTTTCAGTTATACTGTATATTAAATAATTGTTTACTAAATAACATACTTGCTTTAATTAAAATCTTAAATCTACTGTTCAAATCATTGTAAAAAGGTAAACTAATGCAAGTCTCTACTTCTGTTCAAATGCATAAAGTAAAATTAAGCACACAATAATTTTGAATAATGAAATTTAAAGTAAGAAATATGGAGGGGAGGATATTTAGACATTAGTTGGATGACCTGAGGTTAGTCTAGATTATTCCAAGATTGGATTTTAAAACTACTTAATCCTGTGCTAGTTAAACAAAAAGTTATAGGAAGCAGTAACTTAAATACATATTGGCTTCCCTTCGCTATCATTAACCAAAGCCCACCCAGTGGTTAGGTGAGGACCACCCCAATCCAAACCCTTACTAGCTTGGCCTCTCTGAGCCTCAAGCCTCAGTAAGGTGAGAGACTGCCTCCAGTTCTGCCCTTTTGGGCCATCCTGCACCTTGCCTTGTGGGTTATCAAGTAGCCCTAAAACTGTCTGGGTCTTGGGCTGTTTACCGTGCTGGGGCTGTAAGAAGACATGAGATGCAGCACAGCCCAAAGCCACAGCTACTCCAGGCCAGCCTGGCCCAGCAGCTCAGCACATAGAGGCTTCTTGGAGCACTAGGGCTTGGGGGTTGCAAGAAATGCCTGGGCAACAAAGCCCAGCCCAGCCCAGCCCATTTCAGCAATGTGGGGAAGGGAGCTTCTTGGTATTCTACAGCTTAGGCCGCAGGAAACCCCTGAGCTGCATTGCAGCATTAAGCCCAGCCCCAGCTGATCTCAATAGTGCAGCGCAAAGGGTTTTCTTGGTGTACTGCAGCTCTGGGGCTGCGAGATGTTTGTAGAATGCAGCACAGCATGGAACCTATCATAGCATGAAGCCCAACCCCAGCCTGATCAAATAGTGTGGTGCAAATGGGCTTCTTGATGCACTGCAATTCTGAGGCCACCAGAACATCTTGAGTTGCAGAATGAAACTCAGCTCCAACCCAGCCCAGCAGCATGGCACAAAGTCACAACTGCCCCAGCCCAGTTCCAATTGCAATTTACCTCACCACTCTGCACTCTGAGGCCCTGCATGCCTGCACTCCACCACCCCAGCTGACTTTTGCTCCCTGCTGTTGACAATGCATGTCCTCCCTGATCCATCACAAGGCAGCTGCTGGCCAGATGAGACCATCTTCTCTGGGTCTTGCAAGGAAACTGCCACGCACATCCTGGAGAAGAAAGCCTTGTGTGATCAGCAGCTACCTTGTGAAGGTCCAGGTCGGGCATGCGTGTTCAGAAGTGAGAGCAAGAAGATGGTGAAGATCAAGGATGGCAGAGATCACACAGTACAAGGAAACAAAATGCATAGATGGGAGGAAATGGACAGGTGGGGGAAGTTAAAGTGCCCTGTGGTGATAATTACGGGCAGGCGGCCAAGCACTTGAACTTTGAACCACGGGAACACTGCAGCTTCTTACAGTTGCTGAATGAATGTTCATAAGTCAAGAACTACAGGTGGCTACTATGGACTTAAGTGTACATCTTTGTGTTTGGGTCAGTTAGTCAAATAACTCCTTCCCAAGTGTTTAGTTTAGATGGTTCTTTCCCCTATAAGCTTCAGTTCTATCATTAATATCCTGAATAGTTGTTCTATGTTTAATTTTCCTTCATGTGCTCAATAAATTTCATTAACCTTCTCTGGTTTATGGCACTAGGTTTGATACACTTAAAAAGCATTTATACTAATGACTTAAGTGTCCATATGTGCCTGCCTGAATTTTAAGATTTTCCTTAAACATCTATTCTGAATAGATGTCAGTCCCTTAATCTTGGGGTTGGAAGATCATTGTTTATTCAAAGCTTTAAAACATTTCATATATTTTGTTTTTAAGTATTTTCTGTGTTCACTATAAACTTTATAGAAGAAGAGTACTACTATAAAGTCTGTGGCAACCACAGATCAAAAGTCTGGTAGCACCCTTTCAAACTAGCAAATTATTAATCCTTCTTCTAAGTGTTAATCCTTTTTACAAACTTTATAGGGAATTTCTTTACAGAAAAGTATACAAATGTTACAAAACAATATTTTGAAGTGAAAGTATTTTTCATGTTACAATATAGATTGTGTAAACATATAAATACACACTCAGAAAGGAGAGACAGAGAAGTCTCAAATCAAGTGACAGGTTTCACATCTATCCATTTTGAAAAAAGTCCAGTACTCAATTCCATGATAGTTTTATAAACTTTGAAAGTTGCTCAATTTGGAAAAGAAATGCAACTCTGTAATACTTTGGAGAGAATAGATTAAAGTTTATAAGTTTTGGAAGCCGCCTATTAATCCCAGAATCTTACAAGGACGCTGGATGTCTGTCCTGTTAACGTAGCTGAAATTTCAATGTTAGTTTTTATACTTCTTATTCTTAGCAAGACAGAAAATGGAGACAAAGAGGCAGAAGGTTAGTTTAATTTGGTTGACTCATGCAAATGGATCGATGCTTAGTTTCCCCATGGAGGAGTTGCTATTAGCAACTGTGCCATAGCATCACTCCCTTGATGCACAGTAACAATGAGGCTCAGAATGTAGCTATCTTAAAAGCCTGCAGAATTGTGTTTACTTCCATAAGAAAAAAAATCCAGACACAGTTACTCCAACCAGTAAAATTGCTTTTAATGTAAACCATTATCTTCTGAATTGGGCGGGGGGTTCTCAGTTCTTAATTCTGATAATTAAATTTAAATTCTCAAATAGAAATACTTGCTTACTGAAAATTATGATACAAAAATATTTTTAAACGAATTATGAATGGTGCACTGTTATAAATATGCTTCATTTTCATTATCGAATGCTGTTTTTCCCAGTTTTGTTATCTCCAAAATTCTGTACTTCAGCTACCAAATATTCCACCAAGTGTGAAGCTACTTTTATGTTTAATGATGTAAAATTCTAATCAAGAAATGATTCATGAATGCACATATTTTTAATCTAATTATATTTGAAAGTTTATTCATAGTAGTTAATATTAAAAAGCATTCTTTAATCAGGATCGGTATCCTTCATTTTTGGTGCTTTTTATGCAGCCATAGGGAGAGGAAGATAAACATGAAGAGCAGGAAAGGGAAAGGCACATTCTGTTAAACTTCCTTTTGCAATGCTACATCCTTAGTATTATTGTATTGTATAAAGTTGATTAAATACTGAATTACAAGATGTTACTGAAGTATCTTATATGGTATGAACTGTCTTCATTGGCTGTACCTCAACACCTGGAGAGAAAGTTAGTTGGTATCTGCATTAATTTTATTTTGGGGGGAAATCCATTTGTACATTCTAGTATTGGAGACTTCTACAACTTTTCTTTAATATTTTATAACAGAAGAATAAAAATTAATCTCCAGGACAATAATAGAAATCATTCCCACCTTTTTAATCTTTTTGATTTTGTTTTGGGTTTTTTTTGACAGGGTGGCTTTCAAGTCTCTGTTGACTCAAGTAGTTTGCCATTGTCTCCTTCCCAGGGCTGAGAAAAAGTGATTGGTTCAAGGTCAGCCAACTTTGTGACAAAGTCAGGACTAGAACTCATGATCTCTAGAGTTTCTAGCCTTATGCAT